GTGGAACATTGGACACTAGAGGCCGAGAAGGGTGAAGGATGAGAAATCACCAAATGGGTACTGACACTCTGTGCACTGTTCAGGTGACAGTTACATAAAAAGCCTATCTTTCACCATTTTGCACTATATCCATGCAATAAAACTCCCCTCTTACCCCCTGAATCTATAAACTAATAATTAAAAAAAAAGAACAAAAAGGATTTTCCTTTGAATGTTGATTATAATCATGCTGTGTTCTAATGTATCTCGCCCTGCTATTTATTACATAATGATTCAGGGAGGTAGACTGACACAGCTGTCATTCTGCTCCGGGTGGAGAATCCGCAGGACCGACTGCTCAGATCTTCAGGATCCTGATCCAGTGTTTTCACATAACAAGTTAGCCTTGACCTTCACTGAGTGAAGGAACTCTAGTCTAACATATAAAAGGTCTTCCCACAAACAACTCTGTCAATAAGAAGATCCCAGAAACAGATTTGGGAGTTCGACTGTAATGGAAAACACATCAGCTTTAAAGACAGATGATCTAACCAGTGACTGACCTACCAAGCCAGGTTCTTTTCCTGAGTGCTGCTGAATTAAAGGAACAAACAAAATCACATGTATGGCTCACTTCAATTCCAGCCCTTATTCTGGCATCATTCAGGTGAACACAATTCTTTGCTTTTTTTAACATGATCCTGAAAAATATTCAGATGAACCTATGCTTTTTATCTAAGTTCACAAAGATATCAGTGGAGAAGCAGACAGACAACTAAATTTTTAAATGTGTATTTTTTTACTTTCTCCAACCAATTATGGCTAAGCACATTAGGGAGGAAAGAACATACCTATTGCTCAAGTTAGACTCGAATCAGGAGAGGAAATTGCATCTTTTTAAAAAGGCAAGATTTCCCATCACATAAACATGGAATAATAGCCTTCTATCATTTCAGTTAACATTTATTTTACCTAAAATAAACTCTCGGCCTGATGTTGTTCTATAATTGGCATGTGGCAGAGTCCACACTGAAGCAGATAGAAGTTCAGAAAGCATCCTCTGTCTTCATAAGAAATCTGCAAATTTGCCTAAACAGTCAAACTTTACGTCGTTGCTATGCAACTAACATGCAGCACCATCCATCAGACAATAAATAAATTATGAATTTTACAATGAAGAGAAAAGTCTTTCTGTTTGAGAACAAGCCGCAACTTCCTTTCATGCTATCCTAATCCACCACAAACCTCTAAAGCTGTTTTACAAATGCTGATGTTTTGGCAAGATAAACAAGTGAGTGAGTAGCACAGCAGTGACTCAAATGTAGTCTGCAATCTGCACGCTAGGAAGCATCAATACTGTTTAATTTGTTCCTACAAGCCCAGGAACCTGTGCTCCCCAGCCCTGGTAGAAAGAGACCCAAAAAAATCAAAAATATTTCACACCCACATTCTTCCAGGTAGCAGAATATAAGCAAGCTTAAGTAAAAGGAGATTCGGGCAATTTCTGCTGGCAGGCATCCATCACTGGTACTGGTCTCAAACATGATTCTGTGTCAGAACCTAAGAGTGATTTTAGCCATGGGGAAAACATCTGTGAGGTAAGAGTTACAGAGAGGGAGAATTTGTGGCACGTGGGTCACAACCATGTTTAACAGGACCTATTTGGTGTTCAAAATGTAAAACGTTTGACAACATTCAAAACATTCACATAAAAATCTAGATGTCTTGCTTTTTATGAAAAGTAGTAAAATAACACCAAATTTATGTTTTCCCGAAGATCAGTTAGTAATGGATTACAACAGAGCAATAAGCAGAATTAACTACGTTCAATGATGTAAACGGCTTTCACACATGTTAAGCAAAAGAAACAAAACACCAGAGAACATACTATCCCATTCCACATATATGGAGTTCAAGACTAGTCAAACTCAATCACTGACGATGCAACTTGGCATAGGTTTACTTCTGGTGAGGGGATACTCTGGGGGTGATGGAAATAGTCTACATCTTGATCTGGGTGGCGATCCTATGGGTATATGTAAAGTTTTTTCACCTATACACATAGCCTTGAGTAATTTATACACCTCACTGCATGCATTTTATACCTCAATAAGAAATAAAATTTAACAAAAAGAATCAGTTGGCTAAGATACAGCTGGCGTTTGAAGGTGGGCATGGCCTCTCCATATAGCCCACACCCAACAGCTGGCTCATTCAGCTGAATCAGAATCTATGAGGGTGGGGCCCAACAATCTGTTTCAACAAGCCCTCCAGGTAATTGTATGCTCTCTTTAAGCTTAGAGAAGCACCAATCTAGAGCACTGTATACATTAAAGAAGACACAAGTAAAGCAGGCTCAGCCTATATTAAACCATTTGTTTCCTATTACTGAACTTCAGCATTTTTCAGGAAACTCAAGCCAACTCTCTTGGCTGCCTCAAAGAACTTCTATCAAGTGTAAGTAACAAAACTCCTGGAAGGGGACGTGCCAACAACACAGCCTCATTCTGCTTTGAACCATTGAATACTTTCAATTTTAGCACTGCTATCACTGGATTCACGTCACTCATAAAAAGTAAAAACAAACAACTGTATCTCTTTCCGATTGTGGAGAAATGGTCAGACTTAAGTCATTCAGATACATCCCGACTCTGAGGAAATGAATGGTATATATACATCATGGAGTACTACTAATCCATTAAAAAAATAATGAACTAATGCCTCTTGTATTAACTTGGATACAACTGGAGACTATCATTCTAAGTAAAGTATCACAAGATTGGAGATACGAACACCACATTTACTAACGATTAAATTGGAACTAATTGATCAACACTACGTGCATTCATTACAACACTACCCATTGGAAATCAAGCAGGTGGGAAGGAGACGGAGGGGAGGCGTGAACTCCCATCTAACAGATGCTATGCTCATTATCTGTGTGATGGGAACACTTATAGCTGTGACTCAAACTACAAAAATCATTGATGCAACCAAAGCACTTGTATCCCCGTAATATTCTGAAATTTTAAAAAAGAGAAATAAATGAAAATCTATATTCGAAGAGATATCATGGCCTTGGGGAATCATAAAAATGGTTAGAAATTCACAGACTAACACCATGAATCTCCATTCTCACTGTAACTCGCATTAAACTTACATAAAAACACCACTTATGGAATTTTATCTTCTGGAAAATTATGAATGCAGCCAAAAGGGACAAGGTGTGCCAACATCAAAGGCATTTCTGAATCAGCTGGGGGAACCAAAGAGGTGCCTATTATATACCAAGTCATTGTTTAATATTAATTGAAAAATCATAAAATGATCACGTGATATAATAATAATACTTTCTCTTTGCATTTGAAGAAAAAGTTAAGGGATAACTATTCTTTTTCATCAAATTAAGTGACTTTTCTTTATCATATTTAGATATAATCTCCAAAAGAAAACTTATGTTCGTTTATGTTTTGTTACTTATGTTCCATGTTAGTACTTAGTAATGTCGTACTGTTTAGAAGGAGAGGGAAAGAAAGAGAGGGAGAGATCTGAGAATGTTGAAATCATAAAAGCCAAGCATGGTGGCACATGTCTGTAATCCTACCACTCTGGGAGGCTGAGGGGGGAGCATTCCTTGAACTTATGAGTTCAAAACCAGCCTGAGCAAGAGGGAGACCCTGCCTCTAACAGAAACAGAAAAATTAGCTGTGGCAGGCACCTGTAGTCCCAGCTATCAAGGAGGCTGAGGCAAGAAGATTGCTTGAACCTAAGACTTTGAGGTTGCTGTGAGTTAGGCTGCAGCCACAACTCTCTAACCTGAGCAACAGAGTTAGATTCTGTCTCTAATAACAATAATAATAAACAATAAAACAATAAACCATAAAATGAATACCACACTTTAAGGTGATTAATCTCTGAATTGTTTCATTCAGGACCTCGCAGTGCTTGAACAATCAGAGAGATGCTGAGAAGTCCACTGCAGAATTACTCTGGCTACCAAATTCACCTCCAATTTGTTCAACGTTTGGTTTGGGAATAAATCTGAAAGTCACAGGGCAGTCCGCAGGGCTCCCTGCTCAGAAATGGGCTTGGGTTATGAGGCTCTGTGGTTGTTGGCTTAAAATCCTTAATAATTTAATCACTGAGTCTGCGTTTTGTAAGTGAAGCTCCGTTTGACAAGGGAACCTGTGCAGGAGGCTTGGAGCCCAGCATCACACCTTGCCCTGTTCACCACCTGCTCATGTCCCCTAATGTGCCCTTGGCTGCTGACTCCACCACCTGCTCAACAACATCTGCTTTCCATTCCTGGCAGAGTTCTGGGCCCTGGGACAGGAAGAGTTGCGGCAAATCACAGGGTAATGCACCAGGCACCCCTGAGGATGCACTCCTGCCCTGAGGATGTCCCCATGCCCACAAAAGTATGACATGAAATTGCAAATAAAATGCATCATGACTGCTTAAGAGGAAAACCATGGAAAGAAGGACAACGTTTGTGTCCTGTTGTCTGAACGAGGTGGGGGGTGCGTTTTCATTTCCCATAGTCCTCACACACCTCACACGTTATGCCCCCACATGTGACTACGAGCCGGGATGAAACAGAAGAACAAAGAAAAGGAACAAGAAGGTATCAGAGAATTAATGGAGTCCACATAAGGAGAGTGAGGTGATAATTAGCATTCAGACATTAAAATGTTTTATGATTGGAGCTGGGTGCAGTGGCTTACGCCGTAAGCCTAGCACTCTGGGAGGCAGAGGCAGGTGGACTGCTTGAGCTCAGAAGTTCAAAACCAGCCTAAGCAAGACCTTGCAAGAGCAAGACCTTGTCTCTACTAAAAATAGAAAACCCAGCCAGGCATTGTGGTGGCCACCTATAGTTCCACCTACTTGGGAGGTTGAGGCAAGAGGATTGCTCAAGCCCAGGAGTTTGAGGCCGCTGTGAGCTAGGATGCCCCAGCACATTACCCAGGGTGACAAGTGAGACTCTGTTATTAAATAAATAAAACAAACAAACAAACCAGATAGACTCTTTTAAATAAATGGTTTATTTCTTTCTAATCAAAAAGTAATATATATCATAAACCATTCAGATACAGTGAGACATTGGAGATGTGATTGGAAAGCTGTGTTCAAAGCATCACGGATCAGCACCAGCACACTCCAGTTCCATCCGCTGCTACCTTCTCTGTGTTTGAATCAGGGACTTTGGACACTTCGAACCCGAGTTTACAATCTCAGAGCCACTGCTTGAAAGAGTCTAAACACAATGCAGGTTAACACACAGGGGGATCATTACTTTTTAACCTCATTCCCTACCTCCAGTTTTACCAAAGGATATCTTTTGTTTTCCAGCACTTTAGCCTGCCAGGGGATGACGTTGTCTAAACACATTTTCAATGTTTTCTTTTTAACAGTTAATATATTTCCAGGATGCAAGTCCATTTCTTTCTAAAAGGTTCCTAGGACACCCATTGAAAAGTCAAAAGCAATGAACTCAAAGGGATCGCTATTTTGTTGGAGAAGAACGACACCCTTTGTATTGAAGGGGGGAGTTGCAGGCTGTGGTCACCCTCTGCACACTGTCTCTTTGTCAAGTCATACATGCTGGGGAAAAAAATAATACAGATGGGAAAATATTGTGCACTGTCAGATCTTGGAAACGGCCAAAGGATTTTTCCTCACCAATGTCTTGTCGATGACTTTCACATTCTGGCACCCTGAAAAAATAATGCATACATTTAATATGAAATGAATGCAATAATAATCAGGCAGGTAATCGTTTTCCCAAGGAATGTAAAATTTGACAAATGTAAGGTTTATGATTCAAGGTAGGCTTGCCAAATCTTATGTGGCATGAGACCATTTTTATTACCTAAACAGCCCTTAACACAAGATGACTGGCACATATTTTTATTAACACAAAGAGTATATTCTTTCTGCCACGTTTAATAGAGAGTCAGTGGCTGAAAGCTCTCTTTTAGGATATGTCTGTAGCAAATTGAAATGCATAGTGAGGATTCACAGAATGGCATTCTTCTCACTGAGGCTCTGTCCGCAGAGACTCAACACAATGGTAAGTGGACTATTTATCTGGGGAGTTCTGTCTATGCGGCAATCTGGATCATATGGACTGTAGAAAAGTGTGGACTACCCCCAAATGGGGTAGTTGATAATTAGCTCAAGACCATTCTTTGCAGCCAGGGCTACATTCTGAGCCCAACTCAAAACAGTCACTAGTAGTAACGGCATAGCTTATTTACCATGTGCTCTCTATTCATTCTTTCAACAAATATTTATTACTAGTGTGCCAGGCACTGCTCTAGGCACTGAAAATACTACAGTGAAGGCAGCAAAGACCTCTGCCTCATGCATCTTACATTTTAGATAATGCATAATGCATGTAATTTAAAAGGCAATTTCTGTGATAGACGCTATATAGAAGATGAGCGGTGCCATGGGCAAAGAACAAAATGAAATAGAAAAAGAAAACTAGATGTTGAACAGATGGATAGAGGAAGGATTGCTACTGCAAACAGAGTAATCAGTGTGAGACACTTGGAGAACGTACACGAAGGACGTGAGGAAGTTGCTCACATAGCTAGGAAGCTTGGTGAAGAGCATCCAGGCAGAGGGACATGGAGATGCAAAAGCTCCAAGGTAGAAATGTGTCTGACACAGACAACTGACCTCAGGGAGGGAGAAGTGAGGAAGGGTGGCAGAAGGGAAGTTGTGATCAGAAAGATAAGTGGACTCAAACCACAGGTGGCCTTGAAAACTACTGCCAAGACATTGGCTTTGACTCTGTGTAAACCAAGAGCCATGGGAGGACACTGATCACAAAGAGTACCGTGGTCTGAATGCGTGTTTAGGAGGCTCATTCTGGCTGCCATGATCAGAGTAGACCTGGGAGAGGAGAGGCAGGCGAGAACATGTGGGCAGACCCACAATATACACAGGGAGAGAGATAATGACGGCTCCAGTGAGGCCAGATTCAGATTGGATTTTGAAGACAGAGCCCCTGTGGATGTGAGGGTGTGAAAGCAAAGGAAAAATCAAGAATGACTCAAGATGTTTGACCTGAGCAACTGAAATTATGGGGTTCACAGGAATGGAGATTGGAGAGTCTGCAGATGGAACAGGTGTAATGGAGAACGTTAGCTCCTTAGGTGCGAACAGGTGGAGCATGAGACACACCTGAGACATTCCAGTGGGGGTGTTGACTAGCCAGTTAGATTTATGTGTTCATGTGTCATGAGATGAGAATGAATATGAAATAGTATCCACCCTTAAGTACTCCTCCTCCCCAGAATATTCCTAATAAGGCTGTCAAAGTTAGAGGCTTAGTGACTGCTATAGATGCATGCTGTAGAATTTCTCAGTTCAAAGACAGCTCTGTGCTGGAGCTGTAAATACAAAGTCAACTTCAAGTGTAATACGCCCAACATGATTCCACTCTCTTCCCCTGCCAATTCACTTCTTTCCACCAAGGAGCCTGCCTTACCAGCCACAGAAGGAAAAGAAAGTTGTAAATGAGAACGGCAAGCCTTACCACTCAGAGCCATGGCCAACCGGAATTCTTCCTTCAGTAGCTCAAGGACATCATGGACACCTTTCTCCCCCTAACCAAGCAAAAGATAAAGAACTCTTGGGTACATCAGTGTGACTTGTTTCATTCATTTGTTTCATTGTCCAGTCACCCTGTTTTATATATTCATCTCTTTGTCCAATTACCTGGAAAGCCAAGCCCCATATGATTGGTCTCCCCACAAACACGGCCCTGGCACCCAGGGCCAGAGCTTTCAGCACATCAGTGCCTTTCCGCACACCTCCATCCAGAAAGACTTCTACCTTCCCTTCCACGGCCTCCACAATTTCTGGCAGAGCATCAATCTGGGGAGAGAAGAGGGCAATAACGTGACATGATTGGCATTGAATTGTTACCATGTACTAAACTCCACCTCCCCAAACCACCAATGCTTCCAACTAAGGCTTAGAGTTAAAGAAACTGATAGGTTTGGGGTCTGCAATAAAGTTATTTCCTTCTGAAAGAAAAGAGGTACAAAGGCTAGCAACTAAAAACACAACTAAATTTTGAATTAAGAGGCTTATGTTTCTTTCAAAATCCAAAGATTCTTTTCCCATTCCCGACATTCAAATTCAAAGATTGTAATCAAAAAAATTAGAAAGATAATTTTAAAACACTCAACCTTTTCTATCTTATAAAATGCATAAAGGTAAATAACATATTGTATTGATATAAATTACCTTAACATTGCTCATTACAAATCAGTTGTTCAAATTCATACTCAAATAACAGTGCAACAGTGGTGTATACAAAATACAGGCAGAGCTATAAAACTTCAACTCTGGCTCGGCACCTGTGGCTCAAGCGGCTAAGGCGCCAGCCACATATACCTAAGGTGGCGGGTTCGAATCCCCAGCCCGGGCCTGCCAAACAACAATGATGGCTGCAACAAAAAAATGGCCAGGCGTTGTGGCGGGCGCCTGTAGTCCCAGCTACTTGGGAGGCTGAGGCAGGAGACTCACTTGAGCCCAGGAGTTGGAGGTTGCTGTGAGCGTGGTGCCATGGCACTCTACCCAGGGGGATAGCTTGAGGCTCCGTCTCAAAAAAAAAAAACCTCAACTCTGATTTCTTTATCCAATATACTTTGCATCTAGCCCTACATTACAGAACTCTCTGTGAAAATATTTTTCTTACTTTTATTTTGTTATTTTTTATTACAAAGTGTTAAGGAGGTACACATGTATTTGGTTACATAGATCACTATTGAAATGCCTCGATTCACAGCAATAAGTGTGCCCATCAGCCAAATAGTGTTCACTGTACCTATTAGATAGGTGTTTCCCCCTCCTTTTCCTCCTGCTTGATTTTCACTAAGTTCCTCTGTATACATGTGTGCTCATCAGTTAGTTCCAGTTTAATAGTATGTACATGTGGTATTTGTTTTTCCCATTTTATGATACTTAGGATAATGGTCTCTAGTTCCATCTAAATTGTGGCAAAAGGTTTTAATTTGGGCAATGCTTATAGCTCAAAGGAGTAGGGCACCAGCCCTATAGACAGGAGGTGGTGGGTTCAAACCCAGCCCCAGCCAAAAACTTCAAAGGCTTTAATTCATTCTTTTTAATGCCTGAATAGTCCTCCATGGTATACATGCACTACATTTTGTTAACTCACTCATGAATTGATGGGCACTAGGCTTGATTCTACATCTTTGCAATTGTGAATTGTGCTGCAATAAACATTTCAGTGCCAGTGTCTTCTTGATAAAATGACTTTTTTTTTTCCCTTTGGGTAGATACCCAGTAGTGGGATTACTGGACAAATGGTAGATCTACTTTTAATTCTTTAAAGAATCTCTATACTGTTTTCCATAGAGGTTGTACTAACTTTGCAGTCCCACCAACAGGGTGGACCATATGCACCTTGAAAACTTTTGTCTTCATTGACAATCAGTGGTGGGCTCGGATTAACACTAGAGAATCGAGATCTTCATGGAGGTTGATCTGGTGGATTGCATTATTATTTCTGGACTTTTACACATCTCAAACCCCATTCCCTTTCCAAGGTAACTTCACAGTTTCTCTCTTAAAAAGGAACAGAGTATATTTGCCCATTCCTTGATTTTGACCTTGGCCATGCCACCCACGTAGGCCAACAACAGGTGAGCAGAGACGGCAGAATGTCATTTCCCAGCACAGGCCTTAAGCAACCTCCTACACTCCTGCTCTCTCTTTTGCACCTTACCATTGCCATGGGAAGAGAAGAGCATCCCCAAGTAATGTTTCCCCTCCAGCCTAGGCCCTAGGGTAAATATTTAAGAAACAGATCTATCACAGCCAAACCCAGCTGGACCTAAAAATTGGAGAACAGCCACCCAGATAGTATCAAGCCTAGGTCACCCAACAACTAGTTGACACAAACTTTCATGGGAGTCAATGATTGTTGATTTAAATCCCTGAATGTGGGATCATTTGTTTAATAGCATCATGTACCAGGAGGTGACACAATTGGCTCCTATGATGTAGATCTTTGCATTTGAGAACAGAAACAATTCCTAACATAACCTAAAGGCCAAAATCCGTAGAAATTATCCACATTCGTCCCAAAATGTTAAAATACAAAATTAAGTCCAGTTCTTATTTAAAACTGTATGATGAAGAAGCCACCATACGCTGAAGTACACATTTTCCAGAAATAATTACACTGAGATCTCTTAAAGGCTTTCCCACTTCTCCTCTAAAATTTTACAGGCTCAACTTAAAGAGAGTTTTATGTAAAAGGCTGAAGAGCAAACACGAGTACAGATTTAGAGGAAGTGAAGGCAGCACTTGGCAGGTGCCCCTGAAGGTTTGGCAGGTAACGTGATTTTCCCCTTTTCCTTTTGGCTTTTCTGCCTTGCCAAACATGCTCTGGATCCATTTACATACATCCCCTTACCTACACATAGTCCCCCTTTTACATTCAGGAGAGTTACATCAACATATAAATGCTACAATTTCCAAGGTATGATGCAAGCTATAATTAACCATATTTCCCCATTTGAAACCAGAACCAAAGAAAAATATTAGCTAGCTTGGGTTCAATACACGTTTTCAAAGTCAGGCAAATCAAGTCTGTTTAGGTTACTTCCAATTCCTAACCTGGCCTAAAAGTAAACTAATAAGGATACTTAAAATGTGAATCCTGAGTTAAAAAACAGAGCCCACATGGGCGTTTCATGTCTCAATGGATAAGATTGTTTTATCCACTGCTGAGCATTTCTCTCATCTCCTTTTGTTCCTCCAGTAGCTGAGGTGATACTAGGCATATATTATGCAAAATAATTCTGATTGAAGAAGATTAGACAAATAAACATAATAGACAGACAGTTCAGGGTCTGTTTCTGTTTCCTTCTTTTTATTTTGCTACTAATCTGCGAGATCATTCTTTTCAGTTGTTACTTCCTTTAGCCTTCTTTAGACAGTTCATCGTGGGCTTAACTCCCCTGGAATTAGTCTCCCGGAAAATATGGTAAGACCCTTATAAACTGTGTCTCCTTCCTTAGAAACTCTATCTGTATTCACTGATTTGTCAAAACACTTTACTGAGGACCTGGCCTAGTCAAGGCACCAATGCCAGGCAGGTTAAGGGATGTGCAGAGAGTCCCACAGTGATCTGACCCTCAAAAAGAATCCTCTTTCTCCTTCCTGTTCAAGCCACAGTCTCCCTGGATGCTCTCTGCCCCACTGCCCCACCCAACCCCACCCCAATCACAGGGAATTCTCACCTTTCCGCCTTCCCATAGCACCCATTATTTCTGACATGTTAAGTATGCAAACCTTTGTGTAGATTAAAGCAATTAAACCTAAACAAATGCAGATTAAAAACAGAGCCATCTAGTTAATAATGAAGGAAACAGAGTCCACCCCACAGCATACATGCTCCCCAGATTCTCTCTCCCACCCCACCCCGTCACACTTCACCAGGCAGCCCTGGGCGGTTTCTATTACGGACACTTAGAAAAATCACCTGCTCATATATTTGCAAATGCAAAAATGGCTGCAATGATTTCCCGTTCCATCTTCATTTCCTTGTCGTGACCTGGGGGAGGGGTGTGTTGTTTAAGGGAGGAGGGGTCTGTTCCCCACTCCGTGAAGCTGAATTGGTCTGTGCCTTCCTTTCACCAATAAACGGGGAGAGAAGTGACAGTGTGCCCATTGTAAGCCTAGATCTCAAGAGGCTTTGCGTGCTTCCCTCACTCTCTAGGAAATGTGTCACCTCAGGAGAAGCAGCCACCTACATGCTGGAAGACAGGAGATAGGGCAGAACCGTTCTGCTGAGCTGATCCAGCTCCAGGCTGTCCCAGGGTATGTAGCCCTGGACCACCTGTAGGTGAGCCCGGCCAAGATGGGAAAAGCTTCCAGAGAGCTCATCCCAGACCACCAACCCAAACTGCAAAATGAATAAATGCCTAGGACTTGTCAGCCAGTAAGTTTCATAGGGGCTTGTTACACAGCAATAGACAACTGATACATTAAGTGTTTCTTAAAGTCAGAATTGCATCGAACCCTTTTTAAGAAGACAAGTAAAATCTCTTAGGAGTTCACACAACACGCCCAAGGACTCAACCTGAGAAACAAGGACTGACCCAGATGCTTTGGTCTATGGTTTTGCAGTTGGGAATTTTCCCTAAAAAGAACATCCCGTTTTTAAGCGTGAGGAAGTTTGGCTTCACTTAGCATCCAAATGAAAATGTGAAACTTAAAAAAAAAAAAAAAAAATTACTCCTACAATTCAAACACTGCAGAGACTGTCTTTAGATCTCAGTTTAGAATATTTAGTGTTATGGATTTTAGAATTCAATTTGATTCTATCCCATTATTCTCTAATTAACTCAAGGCCAATCTGGGTCACATTATCACCAAAGACAAGGACTTTAACATGTCCTTATTTTTCCATTCCTTTCAGGTAGAGTAGAGGTCTGGCAGCTGTTTTCAGAAACTGTGTATTAAGATGAACTGAAGTCAGATTAAATTCCTATTCTAAGACTCTCAGTGGTAAGGATTCCCCCACACAATGGAATTCTGCGATTTATAGAAATGGAGAAATCATACATTTCACTTTTTTTTTTCTGAAAGCAACACAACATTTTGAGAAGGCTCAAGATTAGAAGTTTGACTTGTTCACCCAGCTCTTACCCCTTGAGAAAGGCAAGACAAAGGCTGGAATCCAAGATTCCCCTTTCAGTGTCCCTCCCGTGACATCACACGCCCTCTGAGGCTCTGACCTATGATGTCACAGAACCCACTAGACAGCTAGTCCTTCTGTGCATTGGCTGAAAAGCTTCATACCACGGGCTCTTTCAAGCCTTTGCCATCCACTGCAAAACCCACATGCTGAGGCAGAGACACCCTTCACCATAAACCAAATCCGTTCTCACATTTCTCTCACCATCCTGAGCCCCTCACCATTCGAGGCTCTTTACCTCTAAAGCAGGAGGTAAAATTCAAGCTCGTATCTCCTCCCACGCATGCAGCACGCAAAGGGGAGGGTTGTCGTTGTTGTAAAAACAGTCTCAGAGACCACAACTCAAAAAGCCCTTTTAGATGTTTCCATATCCCCTCAGCCAGAGGGAAATAAACCACACCATTTAGATGTTTTTCCCTTAAAATTTAGTTAGATTTGATTTCAGTCGATTTATATTTTATTTTTAGAAAACAAACTTAATTTAGCCTGCACACTAGGTCTGTGTCTTCCTACACAAGTGGGGCATAAATCTGAGAAAAAGCCTGGAGCTCCGACTAACTTCCCCACCCTGCTCAGAGGAGGCCTCACTTTCCACCTCGATTTACCTGCAGGCAACATTTAATGTCACCTAAAAAGACATGTCACTGGGAGTAATGCTGAGTTGGAAAGGGCTGACAATTGTGACAGTTTCACGATTTTAAATTCTTGACTATATAATTCTGCAGGGTACAAAGGCTTGGTTGGTTCCCACCAGGAGAGCTTCAGGAAAAACCGCAAATACAATATTGCACACCCAGTGTCCCCTGCCATAGTCTGCTTCACAATTAAGACCCACAGAGCTGGCGTATGAATGTAGCTAATTCAACCTGCTAGTCAGTTAAATAAATAAAATAATCCAAAACTACTGGGCTAAATTATTGGTTCTACTCTTCGTCCAGTTGCTCAGATAAATTCAACTGGTGATCCCAGTTACAGCCATTCATGTAATAGCTATGACTGAACAGTTCTAATGAAAGTGGGGAAATGTATATTAACACGATGATCCAGTTCAGTTCTATTTTGCTAGAAGCTAGTTTATTTTGCTTATGTAAATCAAATTATAAATATTACAATTGAAAGGCACCTAAGAAATCATCAAATTGATATTTAGACTTTAAAAGATGAGGAAACCAAGGTTCAGAGTGGAGATCAGTTCCTCCGTCCCTTGGCAGTGCAGATCCCCCGTCTCTGTTTCCCTGATGACTAAATTATAGTAATCGTGAAGGCCCCCGCTATGTCTTGTTACGCCAAATCCAATTTTTTCTGTTGCCTACTCAGCAACTCTCAGTATTCAAGAATCTCCTCCCTTATCTATCCAGGCAGATGCATTTCCCAAGATCCCCCTCACTCCCAACATGTAACTGTAAACCAAATTGATTACTTGGCATTCCCTAAGCACCTCTCACTCTTTCCTGTTCCACATTTTCACTCACAACTCTTAAAAACAGGGGTTCCCCTGGGAAAAGAGCAGAGGTGGAAGGGGAGCTGCAGCATCGCTGCCTCTGGGCAAGAACCTGGGCCTCATCTTCACAGGGAGAACACACACGGGAACCAATTTTAACACCACACCTGTGCTCCTGGCCCCCATCTGGATCATGTACCCATGAAGTCTACATCAGGCTATGTCTGATACCATGGGTTTTGATCCATTTCTGGCCCTCCAATTATTGATCTTAAAATCTGCCCCAGGTCCTCTGCTGATTTCCTTACTTTGGGCCTTTGGGGGCCTAACTGCTCTCCATCACAGTTCTAACTGGGCCCCAGCACTAGGCCAGTTGTAGTCCCTTTTACATCTAGATTCTGGGCTCTGCTTTGCCTAGCACAGTGTATGCAATATAAAAAAGCCTCAGATGCACCTTGGAACCTCCTGGACAGCTATACATGATACTGGGGACTGGGCACGGACCACATCCACCTCTGCCAGGATCCGGACGAGTTGATCTGGAGTGTATCCTGAACGGCAGGGGTCTCTGAAGATCCCCAGGGCGTTCCAATGTGTTCACAGTTCAAACAGGGGAGCCTCTTTGCAGCCCCTTGCCCCCTCCCTGGGCCATGGGACTCCTTATTCATTCCCCCACCCTCTCTCTGCCACTCTGCAACCCTCACGTCCACAGGAAATTCCAAACTGTCCCTCCGCCTGTCTTCTTGTCACAATGCACCCATCATCTCAAACTCCACTAAAGCCTTTGGTAAGCCCTGCAACTCTGTTAGCCCATTTTCTTTGGACTCTGAAGCCATAATCTTTTCTTCTGTACATCCATAATCTTTTGCACTGTGCCTATTGCTACACCTATGAATACAAGAATAATCTCTGCCCACAAGCACCTTATTATTTTACAGAGACTTTTATATGTTTACAAACAAATGCATTGGGCTTACTAAACATGAATGTAGCAGTTAATTTAGGTCGCCGTGTCCCATCAAATTCCAAACTCAAGATGTCATACTTTCACATATATTTCACATTGAGTGATCACTCAAAACTATGCACACAGGCAAGGCAGACATAGAGATGGTCAGAACCACGATGGCAAAGGGAACTCTAGGGTGAAATCCCAGCATTCGCCAAAACTCACAGTGGCTGGCACCCCATCCAGTTGTCGAGCCCCGTGGTTGGACACCAAGATCCCATCCAAACCATGTTTAACTGCCTCCCTGGCATCATCACCTGCAAAGAGCAAAATAGAAAGACAAACAGCTTATGGGAACGGCATCTTTACAGAACACGTGAGTTCAGAACCTCAGCATCCCAGTCCCGATGAGGCTGACCCCACGAGGCTGACCCCACACGCAGACACATAAGCTCTGCTCAGTACTCCTAACATAAAAATACACCCAAGGGTTAGGGATAGAATATTAGTGGTAGTAACAGCTTATTTGAAATAAAAGTTAGCACTTGGAACAATTTGTGAGATAACATTATCAATATATAGTATATTGACATACAGTTTAAAAATGTATCTTTATGTTGCTAAAAATTTGTTTCAATTCATATGATCATACCAAGTTCTCAGCAGAATCATTACTCTGCAATACAGATGGCATAAAAAATACATAAACATCAAGCACTTTAAGTGTAACAGGCAACGAACAAATCTATTTCAAAAACATTCTTTAATGTCAAGAGTTATAATTTCAGCAGCTATTTTAAGTGACATTGTTCTATAATTAAATTTGCTCTTCCCATTAAAATACATCAAAAAAGGTAAAATTCTATGCTAATTTCCAATCCATGCTTTTTGATTATCCAAAAGTTCAGTTTTTAAATAGATTAGTGTTCTCTAAATTAAGTTTCAACATGTTAAAAATTATTTTAAATTCTGTATTGCTATTTTCAGCATTGTCCCAGTAAAAGGCCATTTGCTAACAGTGCTAATCATGAAAACAACACTGATTGTCAAGTTTACCGCTCAAAAGTACAGCCAGCTGGTTAAGGTTATAGTCAACCTAAATAGATGGATGGAGGACATTGCAAATGTCTAGAAATTCATCCATAGAGATTAAGAAAGAGATCTTTCAGAATAGGAAGATACAGAAGAGAATCTGCAATTCTGACCGTTTTTAAAAGTTTATGTTCATACACGATTTTCTAAACTATGTTTCCTGGAATACTAGTTTTTAAATATTCCCACTTTTGTTTCCAAATGATGATAAAAAATAACGTTTTTTCTCCTAAAATTATTGGTATATGAAAATGTTAAGCCTCTGTGTTATGAAATGAATATTTGGCATCCTTCCAAAATTCCAGTGTCAAAGCACTAACCTCCCACATGATGGTATTTGGAAAGGGGGGTCTTTGGGAAGTAATTGGAATTGATAAATGCATGAGGATGAGATAGCGTTCAGACCCTTATAAGAAAAGTTACCACAAAGAGTACGTTCTCTCTCTCTCCCTCTCTCTCTCTTTGCACAGAGAAAAGATCCCTTGAGCACACAGAAAGCGCACATTCTGTACCCCAAGAGGAGAGCGCTCACCAGAAACTGACCATCCAGGCCCCTGAGCCCAGACTTCCAGCCTGGAGAACTGTGAGAAGGCAGATTTCTGTTGCAAGCCACCCAGCCTGTGGAGCTTTGTTATGGCGGCCTCAACTGACGAAGGCACCATTTTATATTATTACCAGCAGTATTATTTGCCAATCCACCTTTACAGAAAGCTACAGCAAACTCTAAAATGCAACGAAATAACTTGAAAGACCATCTGTTGTCTGAGTTGCCAGTGTTTACCGACTCCTTTGCATTACAGCTCTTCATTTGTAGGCTGGAGTTTTGTTACAGATTTTGTTATATATTCCATATCCAACTGCCAATCTATATGTATTTTATATTAAATAGGAGAGCTGACATTCCCGTGAGACTGTTGTTGGTCGTCTGTTTTAATCCAACCATACATTACATCTTGTGCAATCTCATTGGTAACTTCTGGGCCCCTTGTGGGGAGAAGACTCGAGCTTCTAGAAGGAAAGATGACTTTTTCCTACCCTATTAATTGCCTAATATTTTACAATGTTCTTTCGTGTTTTATAGCCCCGTTTTCTTTTCCTGTATTTCTATTTACCTTCCTTTTCTGTATTTTCCGTTTATTGTGAGATTTCTGAATATCCTCAAGTTTTTCAAACGTCTCTGCCTTATTCTAACCTATCTACACTATTCAAGTCACCCTATTTTCCTCCCGGGGAGGGACATTCCCTAAAGCCTCCTCCCTTCCTGCTCTTTCTTCTCTCGTACTCTCAAACCTGTCACGGGCTCCCTCCATCCTGGCTCCTGTTCTCTCTGAGTCTGAACTTTGCAGTCTGGTGTATGCCCTCATTGGGTTTCTGTTCACATCTGTTTCTAGTACATTCCTTTTTAATTTCCTAGAAAAGGATCCCAAAGAGGTAAACTTGAATAGCTCCTCTTGTGTTTGAATGACAATTAGATTGGGTATAACACTCTAGTTGGAAAAAACATTTTCCTCCTCGGGACCTTAAAGATACTCCCTCGTCTGCCGGTGTTCGTTGCTGATGTGAGGATGGACACCAGTGTGATTCTTATGCCTTCGTAAGCAAACTGCTTTATGTTTGCTTTCTCTCTTTAGAGACATTATTTTTCTGAAATTTCATATAGAATGTAAGTTACGATTCGTTTTCTGGTCCTAACATCTTACATCCCAGGTTTCATAACTTGTTAGACCTTAATCATTTTTCCCTGCCCCTTGCTTTTTTTTGCTGTCTGAAAGCCCTCTCAGAGGGATATAAGACATTTTAAAGGGGTCTTCATCTTTCTTATTCACTTATTTTAATTTATTTTTTCATATTTTACATTTGACTTGGAGTTTGGTATCGCGCACACACTAGACAACCAGAGAAAACCACATAATTGTGTCTCCTTTCCATTGGTCTTATTGATGTCGCTTTACATTTTGGAAAATGTCATTGACTTTATTGTACAGCCATCCAGTCATTTCTTTTTCCATTTAAGAAACCATGTTTTCAGTTTTTGAGAGCTCTTCTTTGTCCTCTGATGGTGGATTGCCTGAGCTCAGGAGTTCGAGACCAGCCTGAGCAAGACAGAGACCCAGTCTCTACAAGTATCGGGGCACTGTGGTGGCCGCCTGTAGTCCCAGCTACTTGGGAGGCTAAAGGAAGAGTTTGAGGTTGCTGTGAGCTATGATGGCACCCTGGCACTCTCCTGAGGGTGACAGAGGGAGAGGTTGTCTCAAAATAAATAAATAAAAATAAATAAATGAATATGTAAAAATAAAAAAAAAAATCAGAACTCACATTTTCCCAGTGTTAATCATTAGGAATAGGAGCTCTTTTTCATATTCCAATTTTCTTCTCATGCCAAGCTTTTCTTATTTACATCTATTTTCAACTTCGTTAAGTCTATCATTTGGATTTTTTTTTAAGTTTTTCTTTTTTTTTTTTTTAATGTCTTTCCTTTGAGATCAGCTTTTCTATAGATGTTTCTTAGTCTTCTAAGTTTTGGTGTTTCTGATATGACTTGTGGTGCTCAATTTTCCATTTGCATTTAAGGAAGAAATTTAGAAGTTGCAATAGGATTCCTGGGCTGTTTTGTAAATCAGCTTCATTCCTGCCAAGTCAGTGCCTGGTGTGGAAATTCCCTCTCTGAGTTTCATGTGGGAAGAGGCAGGAAATGTCAACTAAGAGGCAATTGGATGTGAGGTACTCGGGTGTCAGAACAAGGACAGCATAATGTCATCCGGGCAATGCCACCACCTACCTGCCATCCCAGCCTTGCACTCATTCCTCTGAGCAGTGAATGCTGAGCTGCCCAAGTTGCCCACTGCTGGAGAAGTGGCGAGGTGAGCAGGACTGCTGTCTTGCAAGAAAGGTTCCCAAACAGATTTCCATCAATCTCTTTGCTTTCACGTCTCCCCCTCTTCAGACTACACCCCTAGATCCTCTCAGTGCTCAGTTACGTAATCTGCTCCTGCCTCCTCTGCTACAGTTCTCTAAGAGCCCATCTCAAGGGACAGTTTTCTTTGCATTTTCCTCTATCAACCTACTCTTATATGATTATTCCTTTCATAAGTTTCTTGACACTTCTCTGGCCATGCCCCTCATCTCTCTTTGCTTTGCTGTCATTAATACACACACACACACACGTTTGAATTTTCCTGCCTTTTATCACACGGAACTCAGAGAGAGAAGGAATTTTTGAGCTTTAATTTTAGTGTACTCTTGGGATGGATTCAGCCCATCAATCTGAACCAGAAGCCCAAGACCCTACCATTTCTTTCTCAAACATATTTGGAAAACGGCTCTCTGAAGATCTGGTAATGCACTCCCGTCCAATAGAACTTTCAGGGATGACAAAATGTTGTATATGCATGCAGTTCCACACAGTGGCCACTAGCCCTGTGTAGCCACTGAGTAATTGAAATGCAGCAGGATGACTCAGCAACTGTGATTTTGCCTTTCTTTAATTTTCATTAACTTATACATGTTGTACAGCTCAGCTTTAAACATGGCCTTACCTATTCTAATAAAGAGATGTATTATGGTATTTTTTAATCCAGATGTAACCATAAATAACGTTATTAAGCAATATAAAATTATACCCCAAATAGCTGTGGTTTTCTCTGGTTATCTAGTTGTGTGCATGATACTAAACTCCAAGTCAAATGTAAAATATACAAAATAAATAAAAATTTTAAAAACCAAAAACAAAAAATGTAGACTATGATATTTTGAGCCCTATAACTGAAAATTTGTGAAGTCTTCCAATTTATATTCAGAAATCTGCTGCCACGTGGCTACAATCTGCATTTTGAGATATTAAATATTATCAGTAAACAGACCTACAGCGTATTGAGAGGTGATTAACTGTTTAGGGCAAGTCATCAGATTGGTAGGCCTTCTGGGCCTAGGCTAAGACAGAAAGGTGTCAGGCCTAGGCTATAATGGAAAAATACCAGTTAACCCTTGGCAAATTCCTGGACTACAAGCTTTCAAATGAAACGAAGTAAGTCTAGTTCACTCCCAAGATAAATGAGAAAGTACTAATTGATTTCTTGCTTCTAGTTCATTCCCAATTTCTTGCTTGGCTTACTATCTAGGAAACAGACCAGGAGTTACCAACTGTCCCCAGACTGACTTAAAAAATACCAGGTGGGGAAGGTGCTGAAACTAAGATGTATGGGGGGAAAATATTAAAACAAAGATG